AAACTTTTGCTTTTTATGATTATTTCATGCCTAACATTTGTTTTATCAATGAGTAAATAAACTCAGAAAAGAAAAATAGCAAAATTCCAATCAGATGTAAAGAACAATACTGTGATATTTGTTGTATAAAACACAACTATAATTAATAGGGTAGTGTATATTTTAAATAACCAGGAAAGTACATTTCAAATGTTTTAAATAGAAAAAAATATTTGAGGTGATAGATAAATATGTTAATTTAACTGAACCATTCTATAGTATAATGTCACTTCATTTTAAATATATAATCCATGGTATATAGTAAGATGATAGATAGATAGATAGATAGATAGATAGATAGATAGATAGATAGATATAGACAGATATAGATATAGCTTGTGTGTATATATCTGAGCATACACAGGTACAGCTGAATGCCTGCTTTATGGCAAACTTTGGTAATATTTAGTTGTTTTAGTACATAAGTAATGTCTTAGTAGTGGGCCTACAGAAAAAAACTGAAGAAAAACATGTTTCAATTCTCACAATTTAAGAGAACCTTCTTTTTTTCAGTAAGGGAAATTTCCATATGGAGAATTGACTCAGTGGTTATGAGTCCTTGTTGCTCTTGGGCAGGACCAAAGTTCTATTCCCAGCATCTAAGTCATATCTCCAGATCCAGATCCAGCTCTAGGAAGATTTGGCATCTCTGAACTCCATGGGCACTTACAACCACACACACACACACACACACACACACACACACACACACACACACACACATAAAATAAATCTGTTTTTAAAAAAGAGATGAAAACATGCCTAAGAACAAAGTTCTAGTTTAAGCACCTTATTTTAATCATGTTTTCTCAAAAGCCTTCTAGGATAAACTAAATCAGAGACGGTTGTAACATAGATTCTTGCACATGGTATCAGGGTAAAGAAGAGGATTTGCTGATGGTGCTCAGGGGAGACAAATGTCTTTCTGAGTAGAGAGACGGTTTCATTTTGGATTTACAAATAGAGTGCTGCAGACCTCTGCATTGTGGTAGAAGCTAGCAATAACCACTACAGTCAAGCAGCTTGCTTCTGTTGGACATGATGAGCTAGTACAAGGATGGGTTGTACTAGGGGAATTGTACGAGTGGGCATGGGTCCTGGTCATAACCTACAGGAAAGTGGTCGTTTCTGAATGTCAGTGTTGTAAGGATTATGAAGGAAGATGCTCATTCACAGGGAAAAGTCCTGAGCTCCAGTTGCTAGAGAATCTTTCTCAAGTCATTCAGTTAGCTGGCACCACAGATTATAATGTTAAAATACTGGTAAATAAAGATGCTGAGACATGCCAGGGTCACTTTGAGTGAGTGTGGTGGGGAGGAGTTAAAAACCATCTCAGGGGAAACAAGAAAATATTCCTCAAATTAATTTTTTTTTAATTTTCACAGTGTATAGATTAATGTAGCCCACATGCCCATGTACCCACCAAGTGATATTTTTAAATTATTTGTTTGGATTAGTGAATTGAAATTATACCAGAAAAGAAGATTTCATTTTTACTTATTTCTATGTAGGTTTATGTCTGTGTGTGCATATGTATCATATATGTGCAGATATATGTGCATGTTTTTACATGAATGAATGTAGTGGCTAGTGGTTAGTGTTAAATGTCTTCTCTAATCACTCTTTTACTTTTGAAACATGACCTAATAGATTCAACTGGACTAGGTAGTCACCAGGCTTCAGAAATTGTTTTTAGGATCTGACTAATAGCTTTTATATGGTCACATAGCAAACCAACCATCGAGGGGAAAAAAATGAATTCCAATTTGGCGTAATACAATAGAACATTTTTAAAGAAGGAAACACAAATGCTCATAAGACAAATTCTAACCTATACCTTTATTTACATTGTTTTCTCCAGCTGTCCACAGGCCAGTATAACCCAATCTCTCCTAACCTGACACTTTTCCATAAGTGTCCGGTACCCCAGCACAGGTCATCATGCTTGATTGGAAAGCCTTTATCCCACTGAGCCTTCTCTTGGCCCCGGTCGCGCCCATTTTCAAAGCAAATCTTATTTGCTTTGTCATTCTCTGTCCTCCCACCCTCCATAAACCACAGAAAAATTACTAGGAAATGAATTGTGAATAAATAAACAAGCGAGTTCCTTAATTGACTTCAAGTAGAACTTAATTTCACACAATATAACTCCAGGATTGTTTAATAAATCAAGAAAAGTGTGTGTTCTGAATTTCCCCTGGTAATTTTAACAAATGTTGAGACTAACTTTTCTAAGATACTACCAGTGACACAGTTTTGAGATTTGACACTGTCTTTTTGTAAAAGTTGGTATATCCCAGAGATACTTTTAAACCAGAGGACATGAAACAAGCTATATTTTAAAATTATTCCATTTAATTACTAGCAGTCAATTGACTCCTCAAAATTTTTTTGCAAAAAAATGTTGGTGTATTCAAACCTACCAAATGTATCAACATATTCTTTAATATTTATATGGACTTGAGAAATGAAAAGAAAGACAGTGATCATCTCACTAGCCCAGAAACCTCACTAGCACCATATACCATGGTGTCACTGAACAACAGAGATAGCTGCCGCCACCTACAGATTTCCAGTATCAGGATGCCTAGACTCACGTGGACATTACACCACTTATGAGCTTGTTCAATGCAAGTGGTTGGGATAACACAGCAAAGATTTAATGGATCAGCCTTTCACTGGGTTAGTCTGGGGGAAATGATGAATATAGTCTGCCTTGTTGACAAGAAAGTTGTTTTCACATACCATTTGAATTATAGTATGCTCTTTCAGGCAGAGCTTGTCTCTGGTGAGGATTGTTAGGGAAAAAAAAACCATCAAGTGAACTCATTGCAAAACAAATAAGGAACAAAAAGAAGGTTGCAAATTAAAACCATAAGATCTGTGAGAAATATTAAGTAAGACTAGGATGACATATTCATTTTAAGTAAATAAATTCCTATTAGATTAAAATAGACCACCACATTCTTAACTATAAATATATATTCAATTATTAAAATTAAAGGGAAGTATATATATTAATACTTATTGAATGTCAAAACTAAATTGAAATTCTATACAAAAAAAGATAGTATAAGTCAGATATATATTAGTTATAATCTATATGAGATTCTGACTTAAATTTAAAATTAACACAATCAAATTTAACTATTAGGGGTAAATGGAGCTGTGTAGATGACTTACTTGGTGGGTAAGAACTCTTGATACACAATCTTAAGTGTCTGAGTTCAAATCCCCCAAAGTTTTGACAAATGGGTGTAGTCACATATGTACCTGTAACCCTAGTTATATAGAGAGTTTACTGAGGTTTAATGGCCACCAGACTAGTTACAGGTTCAGTGCAAAGCTTTGTTTGAAAGAAAGAAGACATGGGGTGATTAAACAGGACATTTGATATCCTCCTGTGGCTCCTGATTTCCCTGTATCCCAGAAACACATATGGATTTATACCACATACATCTCCATACATATACTCATCCACACGCACACACATGCACACACACACACACATACACACTAAAACTAAATTGTTTAAAAGATGAAAGTAAATCCACTCTTACATGAAAAAGAAAAGGCAAAGAATATGAAATTGGTCACAGCACTTAACAAAACTTTGTCAGAGCAAGCTCTGGGTTGAAACTGCTGGACCATGAAGATAAATGTGATATAAAGGATAGATTAAAATAGACAAGAAATGTATTCCAATTTGAAATAAAGACTATGATCAAGATCTTAGTAACCCAGTACTTGCCAAGTTAGACCTTTTTGGCATGATCTAATCCTAACTGAAAATTCCCCCAAAGCCCACTCAAGCTCATTGGAGGGACTCAAATGGCTTAGAAAAGCTATTATGCTCAAAGTTACTATTTACTGTAGGAGGGAAAATGAATTAAAAGAGGGATTGAGGTAAGAGTCATAGGACACAGCCCAGCAGACCTGTGAGACTAAGCACTAGCTTACAGCTGTATTCTTTTGGCAACAATGTGTGGTCAATTGGGGAACTCACACTGCTCTGAGGTCTAGGGTGGTCATTGAGGACTAATCCTACAGGGATGGAATTCACCTGCCAATAACCTGCTTTGTAACTCAGGTTTTAGCTCTCCAGAATTCAACCTATTCAGAATAGACTAGGAGTCTATCCTAGAATAAACTCTGATGTCCAAAATAAGTCATGTTGTCAGTATAGTCTGTCCTGTACAGCCTAAGAGTTAAGATCACACTTCTGTCAAGCAGAATATTCCAGGGTTTAAAGCAGTGGTCCTGAACCTGTGGGTTGTGACCCCTTTGGGGGACAAATCACCCTTTCATCAGGTCATACATCAGATATCTTGCATATCACATATTTATTTTATGATTCATAACAGTACTAAACTCTCAGTTATGAAGTAGCAACAAAAATAATGTTGGGTTGGCGGTCACCACAACATAAAGAACTATATTAAAAGGTCACAACATTAGGAATTTTGAGAACCATTCCATTAAAGATCATTCTCCAGAAGCTGTTTGAAGAGATTTCAAAACCCATGAGTTTACTACACAATCAAGGATTTATGAGATGGGAATATATACATGAGAGAACAAGAAATATTTTTAAAATGATGACTACAAGTAATTTGTATGCTTTTATTTTAATGGTTAACTAAGAAAATGAGGGAAAGTAAACCAACATTATATAACAGCATTTTGTTTACTTGGCATGGGGATAATGTGAGCATTGTGTAGTGTGTTTAGCCTCAGGGGAGTGATGAATTGCTATATGTGATGCTGACTGTGGAATCGTGAATGAGTGATGTCACCTTATAGCTGGTACACTGTGTCTCCAGTCCTCAGTTCATCAGAAGAAAGTTGATGCTCTATACTGAAAGATCTACGAACTGTCTTTTTACCAATTGTTTTCTTTCTGTTCCTCTCTTTACATGGTATGTGTCCTCTCTTCAACTACAATGGGGTCTTCTTTGAAGATGCTCCAGTGGATTTGATCGCCATCGGCAGGACTGGGTGGATAGTGGATGCCCAGAAGAGGTACAGGTGCGTTCTTTTGTAAATCACTAGTACAAATTTGACATAACTTGTGACATTATAACCTAATTACAATGGTATCTAGTTATTAAAAAATTAAGAGGCTGAAATTGAATCCTTAATGGGTCCCAAACATTAGGACAAGCTACTCGCATGTATTTCCTCAATTTATTCTTAACCATTCTCTGAAGAGAGGAAGTAGGGATGAGGAGATGTGGGGCTGGAGTGTGTATGAAAGCCCACAGCATTGCACACCTGGCTAGGGAACTGGAGATCTGGGATTTGAGCTTGTGTGCACAAAAGGCAGATTTCCTAATTATTTGCTCCTTTTCTCATTAGAGTGTTCATTGCTCCACTTTTAATCTTAAATAACAAGATAATGGTGTGAGGAAAAGATTGAATACAGTGAACTCTTCTGAGAAGTGATATACAATGTGGTAATCTGATTATCAATAATACATGAAAAAGCAATTCTAACATGTTTACTGTTTTCCTGACTCTTATTGTCCATTATTTCAGTATCACCTCACTTTTACACTGTTTATTGTTTCTTTCCCCTTATGAGATATGAGTAGCTGTATGAATGTATGGGCACCATATGAATGTACGCTATTTCCACAGTGACCAGAAAAGAGCATTGGGTCTTTAACTCAGGAGATGGAATTATAGAGACTAGTGAGCTACTTGTTGTGGGTGCAGGGGATCCAGGCTCCAGCTTTCTTCAAGAGTGGTATGCACTCTAAAGCCCTGAGCAACCTCTCTAGAAACCTCCTTTGTTACGTTTTAAAGCATAAATTTTAATGATAATTAACCATGACACAAATTTTCTCATCGAGTGAGTCTAGTCAAGCCACAGCACTATCTTAGGAACAGTTAGGACTACTGTAGTTTAGCAGGAGCTTTGTGAAAATACATTTGAGATTAGATGATTCATAAAAATCCTGAGAAATACCTCTTTGTGCTAAGAATAGACCTCAGAGATATAAAAGTTGACTTACATGTGAGACCTTAAGTCAAATTTCAGTATCACTAAATAAAGTTTAAGATAAATAAATAAAAAAGGAACATTCTTGAAAGTCACCATGGAGTACATGTGCAATCCTAGTATACAGGAGGATTATGAATTTGAAGCTATCTTGAGTCGTATGGTGACTACCACCTAGCCAATATTGTTGAACTTTTAAGTACAGTATTAATACAGAAGATGTAATGTGATTTTTGACATTGACTTGGGTAATTAGATTGCTTTATAGGAGTCATTTATTTCAATTATCTGACAGTATTTTTTTTAAAAGGACATTGATATGTGCATAATTCTACATTCAGATCCCTGTAGTTCTCATTGTTTTAATCAGTGTTTCTATCACTGCATTGAAACACAATAACCAAAAAGCAAGCTGGACAAGAAAGGACTTATTATTACTGTTCATCAATGTAGGAAGTAAGAACAGGAACCCAAGCAAGGCAGAAACATGGAAGCAAGATTTGATACAGAAGTCATGGAGGGGTGCTGCTTACTGCCTTGCTCTCCGTGGCTTGCTCAGTCTGCTTTCTTATAGAACTCAGGACTACCAGCCCAGGGGTGGCATCAGCCACAATGGACACTCCCCTATCAATCCAAATTTTAAAAATGCCTTACAGCCTCATCTTATGGAGGCATTTTTCCATCATGTTCTCTCCTGTCAGATAACTCTAATTTATATGTTAAGTTGACATAGACTAGCCAGGAAACTCATGTAACCACAGTTTTCCCAAAAGATACTTGAAATTAATATTCAGATTTGTGTCAAGGTCCAGAATATGATCCAGACATTTTAGTTTTCTTGCTCCAGAGTATTATCCCTGTTAACTACACAAGGCAGAGAAAAGTCTCCCGAGTACATTGATGGATAATTCACTGTGCTCTGCGGACTGTGATGGCATTAAAGAAGGTCAGAATCTAATGCATTATGTAATAATCCATGTTTCCTGTTGTTTGTAATTAAATTATACACATCACTAGCTTTGTGGTAAGCAATCCTTTCCCCGCAGGTATGTAAACAAGTTCATCAGCTCCGGTCCATTTTCCTTGCATGCGATGAGGGTGCAATGTTGTCTCAGTTATAGAATGTTGAGCTTCAGAAATGAAGAAACCACAGGCACAGAAATGAACCCAGATATGTAGGAAAACAGCAGTGTTTTCCAGTGATGACTCTAGTCTGAGAAGCTATGCTCTTAAAAGGGGAAGACAGCATGCTACAACAGGGGCAAACATATTCTTGGTCATTGAGAGTTCTGGTGCTTAATGTTCACAGTGTAAATCACATATACTCACGTTCATGTTGGACTTCAGAATTAAAGTAGTCTTATTAAAAATTTACATATTTTTAAAAAGAATACTAAAGGAAATCTAAAATAATTTCTTAGTTCTCACTTCCATTAAACCAACCAATCTTCTACCACCATTACCACCACCATTACAGTCCCCACAGTACTAGTCACTGGGATTAGTCTAATTGACCAACAGCTCTAGCCTGGGCTATTCTGACAGCTACATATTGGCCTCTGTTTCACAACCTACTCCCATTGTGATTTTCCAACACAACATGTAGCTAGCCTCTGACTAATAAATCCAACACTTTGTATATGATGTTCTACCTCACTGAAACAAGTGAGCTGGTAACTTGTGCATATTGAATACATTTCTCAATGTGCATAGCAGGACCTTGTTAGGTTTATAGCTATGTGTTTTGTGTCAAATGACTTTTGAGAATGTGTGTGTGTGTGTGTGTGTGTGTGTGTGCGTGTGCGTGTGTGTGTGTGTGTGTGTGTGTGTATTAGTGTACGGGTATTCTACCAGCATGTTTTGCTACCATAAACTGCGTGTGAAAGCCAGAAGAGGGCATTGAATCCTCTAACATTGGAATTACAGATGATTGTGAGCCGCCATGTGGATGCTGAAAATTGATTGGGTCCCCTGAAAGAGAAGCCAGTACTTTTAATTACTTAGCCATCTATTTAACCCCTGCTCTTAATATTTTATAAATTTATTCTTCTAAATATTTTAATCTGTGTTGTTCACATTAAAGGCTTCATTCTAATGTGTATTGACTTTAGTTTCTAAACTTCACTTTAGTTTTGGTAATACAAGTTGTTCATTGGTTTAGGTAATTCTGTCAGATTCTCTTTGTGTGTGCGTCTGTGTTTTTTTTTTTTCATTTCCTGTAATTAGAAAGGTATGTTAATTTTATCTTAATCTGTGAGCATTTCCAATGCCTGAGTAGATGATGCTTTCTGCCAAAGATAGTTTGCCTATAGTACTGAGGGTTTCAGGGTATGACTGTTTCTGCTTTAACAGGAAAATAAATGTTTATATTTATCACTTCATCTACTGGTGATACAAGGTGGTCTCCTATAAGCCATATTGATATTGGCATTTGTTCCTCCAGGCCAACTCTGATATATATGTGTTTGTGTGTGTGTTTGTGTGTGTGAGTGTGTGCGTGTGTGTGTGTGCGTGTGTGTGTGTGTCTTTTTAAAACGTTGCTTAATATGTTAATATATATTGTTCCTGCTATCTTTAGAGCCTATAGGCTTTATTTGGGGAGGAGGAGGATGTAAAAACAATGAAAAGATTTGTTTAGAGATTTTCTCTATGTCTTAAAAATCCTAATAATAGTGCTTTTAAACTTACAATGTATATACAGGTAACTTCTTTTGTAAATGCAAAAGCAAACCAAATCCAAGATTTTACCTTAAACACAAAGTTTTTAAATAATGCTCATTGAGAGTAGTAGACAGCAAATTCCATCCCAGACTTCTCTATTTTGAGGTGTCTGGAGCATCTGCATGCACATGTCCCTTCAATACATGAATATTTGACCTTGACATCGAGGAGAGGAATGTTACGTTGAGATGCATATTTGTGAACATTCAACATCAAGATGTTAAAAGAAGTACTAGGTATAGATCTGAAAGTTCAAGAAAGGGCACAGAATGAAAGAAAGGGTCCTGAAACATAGGTGAAAGTCACCAACCTAAAAAGAAGCATTATTGAAAAATAAAAAAAGGAAGCAAAGGAGCTGTAAGAAGGGAGTCAGAAGATTGTTGAACATGTGTTACAGAAACCAAAATAAAAGTGGGTATCTGTGTCCACTACTGTGAATTAACCATAGGTTATCATTGGGATATTTAGTAACTATGGAGATACATGGAAATATTGATAGAGAAATTCCAAGTTGGACTGGGTAAGAGTGTAATTAAATGGGAGAATTTGAGAGTCTGGGATGAGAAGGTTACACCAAATTCCTTGCAAGCCTGAACATGACTGGATTGAAAAGTATAAGAAGGCAATATCAGGATGTGTTGTGGAGCAGTGGGAGGATGGAGTGTATGATTATGCATGTCTCCATGTTAACAGTAACAAGTCATCTAAGAATCACAAATGTCTAATACTAAAAAGCAAACATTTTCTCTGAAGAACAAGTTCGAAAAACCCAAGGAAGTTGTCTGAGCTGAGCAGAGTTGGAAAGTTATATGTAAGGAATAGTAGCTGTTTTCTGAAATAAAAGGAAGAGGGGATGTGTTCATGTGGAAACATGTAGGATGACTTGTTGTAAAGAGACCCTGCTGATGGCCTCTTTCATCAAGGGAATGAAAGGCAAGCCAAGGGCAAAGCAAGGAGAACCATGATGGAATTGTGGTTATTAAGAAAAATGAAGGCGTTGGTACCATGGCCTTGAAATGTATGAGTATCCATTACAGAACTGTTTTCAGGCACCATTGATATTCTAAATGAGAAAGCAGATTAATCTATAAGTTTCCACTCAGGGATGACTGTTCTGTCCGACCTTCCTTTGGAGTGGGCAAGATTGAATAGATCTTTTACTTTATACAGAATTGGGAACTATCAAAAGGGGGCTCAAAATATAATGATATAATGAGGTATTTGGAGGCATTGAAAAGTTAGATAAAGGTGATGAAGGAGGGGGATTAAAATAGTACAATTATTGTGAATTCAATGGAGTATGTAAGTAGAAAATTTACAAAAAGAATGAAGTATGTTAAGTGCCCTTTGAAAGCAGGTATAGAGATTTCCTTCTGAAGATCTGGAATTGCGGATGATAGCTAGGGAGTAGTCAGAGCTAATGTAATCATTGGATCTTTGGAGGTGAGAACAAACAGTGACTTCAGAAATAATAAACCTGTAGTATATAGGAGTATTGAAAAAATAGCTTTCCAGGGATTCTTCAGTCAGTGGTGAAAAGATTCTTCTTCCTCCATTAAAGGCAAGACCATCACTTACTGATACTTCTTAAGTTTTTATGATGACTGCCCATATTCAGAGAAACCACCTAGTATCAGAGCATTGGTTTCTTAGAAGCAAAAATAGATTGTTTGCTACATCAATTTCTAACTATAGAATTTGGAATTTTTACTAATGAAAACTATGGGACTTACTTTTGTAGGATATAAATTAGATTAAAAGATGTGTTTCTTCCTGATGTCTTCTGTGTATCACTAATAGAAAGAATTAGTCTGTGTTTAAGTGAGGCCTTTATCTGTGTGGTCTTGGATATTTCATTAGAGAAAACAAAATTTCAAATTTCTATTAAATCTGGAGCTGGTAAATTTTGAAGTCATAAAAGAGTCAACAGCAATTAGGCAATGCAGAAGATATAGCACTGTCCATTTGAGGTGAAGAGAATGTGCTTTTCTTTCATGCATCCAAGTAGGTGTTAAACCTTTTCTATAGGAACATGCTTTTCTTCTCTCTTTTGGTCTTTTGACATTACATCTCTTGAAGCTATATCAAATAAACAAAGGAAAGATAATACAAAGGTTGAATAGGTGAAGATGATTCCAAATATCTAAAGTTTCATTTCATTCATTCAAACAAGATCAGTTTACTGCTAATATCAACTTGAAATTTTCTTTCTTTCTTTCTTTCTTTCTTTCTTTCTTTCTTTCTTTCTTT